GCTGAAATATGGGCTGTCTTTTCTCTCCAGTGCTTTGCTTTTGCACACTCACCACCCAAGATGCCACAAAATCACAGAACCTTGTGGTCACCCTCCTCCCAGCCTTGGCCAGGGTGCTCACACGGCGCACAAAGAGGTGGCTGAAGCAGGAGGGGTCCTGGCAATTTTAAGGTCTTTTTTGTGTTTGCTTGCATTGTCGCATGGCTGGGCACAGCACCGCCGGGCAGCATCCACCGATCATTAGTTTCCCCTCCTGCATGAGCATTTGGCTCTTTTCCCAAGAAGGCCCTTAGTTGTTTTTCAGGCTCAGAGCCATCTTTTCTGACGGAATCCAGCAGGGACAATGGCCAGTAGCAAATCCTTAGGAAAGAGAATAAAAACAGGGCAAGCCTCAGTGATTCTAACCCTGATTTAGCTTCTGGGCGTCTAGCAATCTGCGGCTGGGGGATTTCGTGAGCCAAAGGTTTTACCTTTGGATTTAAGAAGCTGTGGTGTATCTTTCTGTTGTGAATATATCCAATTGTTTTGGTATCCATGGCAACTCATGGCTGTGACTTGTACAGTTTAGTTACGTTGGGTGGAAAAAATACAGCCTTTTGTTACAAGTCTCTGAGCTAATGGCATCCAATGCTCTGTCGTGTTTATGCCCTGGCATAGTGATGGCCCCTTTTTTATCCTCTCTCCCTTTACTAACAAATCCTAATGTTCAATTTTGCCTTTTTACTACCACTCTGAGTATTCTTGAGCAAACACCCTCTGGTCCTGGCAACTTTTCATTTATTGATTTGTTCTGTTTTCTTTTCACCTGACTTTTCAATATGAGACAGAGCCTCTAACCTGCCTTCTGTAAAGCTATCTTCCAGGATGGGAACCTCCCGAGGCTCTTTGCAGTGAATGTGGACACAAAGAATTCACATAACTTTGCTGATACGACCTTGTGTTCCTTTAGGTGTTATCATGGCTTTCCACTGAAATTGCCAGTGTTTAAGCCCTTTGCTATTTTCCTTGTTTCCAAACAGGAAATTAAGTGTGCTCGCATGTGTAAGTGCACATGCTCTTTTGGCAGCAATGTGGACATGTAGGGAGAGATTATTTTCGCCCTGTTTTAGACATTTATCTTAAGGTTGTGTGACAAGTTCCAGAGTGCCCACTTGGAGTAGGCAGCTGGTGCAGATAGAGGTGTGCATTGGGTGGATAAGCCCCACTTGGGAAGCCTGGCTGGACTATCCAGGTTGTAGATGCAGCTTCAGTTCTTGTTAATATAATAAGGAAAGTGAAGAATTAATGGGGGAGAGATTACTTTGCATTGGATTTGTTTAAGAGCAGTTAAGAGAGTATGTCCGCACAGTAGTCATGGCAGCTGAGCTCCTAAAAGCTGAATTACATTAATAGCTTTAGAGATGGCATAGGTAGTCAGGCAATCATTGGTTTTTCACTAAGCCTCTGATCAGGTCATGGGTCAGAGTAGGGCTGAGGTCAAGACACTCTTGAAGGCATGGAAGATTGCCCAACCCATCATGAGGCGGTGACAATATAGCTAGTCTGCAGCACAGAGAAGTCCTGTCTTTGGAGGACTCTCATCTTCTCTCTTTGCTTTGTCTTTCAGAAATGTAGATGGCAGCTGCTGTCTTTGAAGGACTCGCACCCATCTGACCCTGCGCAGCGCCTCCGATTGCTACCATGATCTTCTGCATGCTACTGTTGGCCTCACTGCCTGAGCCATCTGGCACCGAAGTCAACCCTGGTAGGGAGCTGCCAGTCTGGGAGAGGACTCTAATCTCCCACCTTTCATATGTTCATTCTCAGCCTTTCTTTGTCCTCTCATGGTGAATGCATATAAACATAACGAATGCACGTAAACGTAATCACTAACATAGTCCCTGAATGTCTTCCTCTGGACTGAGTTGGCCAGTCTTACTTGACAGCTGTACTGGAGTGAAACACCTCTCCTGACAGTCCCAGGAGGGCTCAGGCATGTGGATATACTCCTTTCTCTGTCCACCCAGAGGGTCCGTGCTCTCAGCAGGCCTGCTTCAAGCTCTCATTATCTCTTCATCAATTTGACCATGTGGCCTGCAGAACAAACCTGACTCTAGACTGGCTCAGAGATACTGTGCTCACTGTGGAAAGTAAATTACTAGTTAGCAAAGCATAAGCTACAGCTCTCCAGCCAGCAAGAGAGGTTCTGCAGAGAGAGGTGTGGAAGGGAAGGTAGAAAACCCTACCTGGCACAAAGCTAGGGTGGAGATAGGGATATGAGCCTATAAGTCCCTGTGGAGGGCATAACTTCTTATCCTACAGCATTTGGCAAGTTATAATCATGACAGAGATGAGTAACATAATGGTCTGCAATATATTGCAAAAGTCCCTGTAATGAGGTGGTTTGAGCTGGAGACGGTCTGTGAAATAAATGAGTCTAATCCTTTTTCAGCTTGGCCGAAGGTGTGGTGAGGCAGCAGTGCTACCCTGAGGGCCTTCATTTGCTCTGCTGGGTCTGGCTTTGTTTGTTGGAGCCCTTTGACTGTGTCTGGCTCTGACCCTGCTCTGGCCTGTAGATCTCTGCAGAGGTTTGAGGTTGTGCTGCAACCAGCCAGAAGTGAAGTGAGGCCTGTGGGGGAGCTCAGCAGGCGCTCCTGTGCTCCCCGTTACACACTGTGCCCTGCACTGTACACCCCCCACATGTCCAACTTTTAACTGGGATTGCCATCTGCTTCTGGTGCTTAAAACTAGTGGAAGAAGAGGGAAGATGGCAGCTAGAGGGTCAGTCACATGCAGATCCCTTTTGGTGGTGGTAAGTACAGAAGTTAGCACACCCTAAGGTGCAGGAATAGCTTCCCCCACCACAGAATCCTGGGAGGTGGGGCGGGCTCTGAGCACAGGGCTGTGGTCCCACCCTCCTGCAGTAATCCTTTCCGCCAAGAAACAAGCATGTAGTTTGCTCATGCTTCTCAGTTCTGCCTGTGACTTCCTCAAGCAGCTTTGTGTTCTCAGCTCCCACAGCTGCTCAGCTGCCTCGCTGTCCCGAGGGGCCATGCCCTGTTGTTCCCACCCAGACTTCAGCCCACCCATAGCCCAGCTCATGCTCCTCAGCTGTGATGCCCACAGGCTCCGTTGATTATCTTGACCTCCTGATCTGCTCCAGGAGTGGTCTGGAACACCCCTGCGTTGCCTTCTAAACCAAAGGGGCTGCTTTGTGGATGATTTCAGACCTGCGTAGGAAGGATCCTGTGCAGTCCTTTTGCCCAGCATCAGTTGTTTAACCTCATTAACAGAGGTGAGCTGTGATATTTTTCTAAGTCTCCATGTAGCCTTTCTGCATGGCAGCTGTGTGTCCTTGAGTGCATAGTAAAGGGTCAGAGATGTCTGAGTAGGAGTCCTGATGGCACCTAAACACAGAACCCAAGGATGGTTTTGCTCAAGAGGATGTATATTTTGATGAGAGCCACAGCCACCCGCAGAGTGCATCCCTTGATGCCAGGGCCACTCTGGCTTACATCTGCCAGCCTTGGGTTTGTGAACAAATGAGTTTTGTTCAGGATTGCAGTAAGTCCTGGTCCCCCGGAGACCTTGCCAACTAGCTAGCTCTCTGTCTGGCATTGCTGTAGGGTGTGCACTTGACCTTTAAATAAGGTGTGACCAGACAGGACTCCCACTGCAGAAACACAAAAACACTTTCTGCTTTCAGATGGCGACTCAATGCTTTTGGAAAATCTTCAGATATTTACCCATAGTTCAGCAACATAGTAGCTTTCCAGCAATAGATCAGATTGTACTACTCTCTGGTGGGACAGGTAGGAGTGAAGACAGGCAAGGCTAACTTGGTTTACTAAACTTACTGTTCAGTATCAGAGCAGGGTTAGAGCCCTGGGTTGGCTTTCAGCAGCCACAATCATCATGCCTGATCCCAGCTAGACACCAGCTGCCTCCCAGTGAATTCTTCTGTAAGCAGGCTTCTTAAGAAACCTCAGACATAGGAATGAATGTTCTGGATGAGACCAGAGGCCCATCCAGGTTGGTGTTCTGACTCCAGCAGGGTCCCATCCCTGCTGGTTCTGGAAGAGTGCACAGATGGGCAAGCACACAGCAGTGCTTTACCCCAGGTGTGCCCTCGGCTTGCTGCACTCTGCTGCTTAGGAGCTTTCTGAGCTAGCATTCATGTATTTGCCTGTGGTAGCTCTGAGTTTGTCTAGCTGATTTTTGAACCTGTGTGCACCTTTGGCATTTGGAGTGTTCATAGATTAAGGATGCATATGTTGTTTTTGAACTCTGGTACCTGATCTGTTGGTGCCTCCTGGTTCTGCTATTTTGAGAGACAGTGAGTAATTGTTCAGGATATAAATGATCTTTCTCATACTTCATTTCACTAATCTGTTTTGTAATGATGAGGCTGCTGATCTTTCCTTTTGCACCATCTATGTTACCTTCTCTGCCTTTTGATAGGAGAAGGAAGGAGTGAGAGCTCTATTCCATATCTGACTGGCATCTGACCAGGAATACATACAGTGCTGTAATGGTGTTTTCTAGTTTGTTTGTATGTATTCCCATAACTTGCTTTTTTCTATATTAAATAATCTCGTATCATCAGCCAACGTTGTCACCTCACCACCCATCTCCTTTACAAGATTATTTAGGAACATATAGAACATCACACATTCATTGATACTGTACCTGACAACAGCTGCAGCCAAACCCTATTGAACAGCCTCTGTTTGCAAACATTTCTACATTGAATCTGTCAGGTAGTTATTTGGCCTTGTTTATTCTGTGTGGTGGTAACAACAAGGTGGGTTTCATGCCTCTGTCTTTTCTTGTAGCTTCTGAACCTGGTGAACAGCTTTATCCAGTTTTGGTACAAGGGTAGCAGTCCTGAGATACAGAAATGAGGAAGACGGGCAGGCAGAACTGCTGATACGGCAGCAGGCAGCCAGCAGTGAGGATGCCAACCGACATGCGTGCCACTCTGGAGTGACTGGAGCATGTGCTGGCACTTGCCTGTGTCACTGCAGACAGGGGAGGAGCTGGGGCTGTTGTGATGGGGCTGCTGTGAGCTCAGAGGACAAAGACCAAATAGCTATAGGAAAGTCCATTTCCTTTTTTTCTGGGACTTGCCATTGACTATGTTTTTGTCTTTTAATTGTTTCATGATTTAATCCCATGTAACTTTCTTTTTAATCTGCTGTTGATGTCAGTCTGACAAAAATATCTTGCTTGCCTGTTTTGAATACTGAGCCGTAAGGAATACATTAAGACTTTGAGTTTTCTGAAACATCTCTAATATTCCAAGACGTGTTTAAAAACTTGTGTCAGGGGAGAAGGCTTGGCCAGCTTGGATTTGTAAGCTACATCTGCACTGTCTTTGGTGTATTGAGCTGTATTGAGCTTGTAGAGCTTCATGGCTTGAGCCAGTTGTGTCTGTACTCCCTGGAGGCACCAAGTTTGAGAGCCTTCTCATGCCTGCAGAGAAGTGCTTGCTCCACTTGAGGGTAGAGGCAGGGAACAGACGAGGATGGGGCAGGGTGGATGGTCAGGGGCTTTGGCTCAAATGTAAGCTCTAACCTGCAGTGACACAACAGAGCAGATGTTTCCATAAGCTAGTCTAGTAATCTGTAATAGAAGCTGTTTAACTTATCACTTGTTTCTGGACTGGTGAAAATAATAATTGTTCTTATTTGAATGCAAGTCAAACATCCAGTTCGTTTCAGAAGAAGAAAATTCTTTAAGAAATTCTTCCTTTTTGTGTTGCATCATTTTTGATAAATAATTTTTCATTGTAAAATAGGTCTGTGCAACCATTAACACTAGTATGGTTTTGACTTTCATGTTCTCAAGATGTTTCTTTGTAAAGTTTTTTGCCTTGCCAGGACTCTGCTGAATGATACTAACTCTGAGTGTATATCATTACTTATTTCAGTTTATGGTAATTATTTCATCCTCTTTATTTACATTCTCTATTTTATCATTACCATGTTTATTCCCTAGGCATTGATAGCTTTTTAATTGAACTTGTCTGGTGATTTAGAAAGAATTGGTACTGATTTTTTTACATGCTTTTGTTCCCATTTTCAGCTATATGCCGTTACCCTTTGGGTATGCATGAAGGGACAATACGGGATGAAGACATCACTGCTTCCAGCCAGTGGTATGATTCCACAGGACCCCAGTATGCACGGTAGGTTAATCTCTGGCAAAAAAATGTAATCCTTTTTTTCTTCTAGATGTCTAGTATGTGATTGAGGAAGAAGTTCCGTCACCCTTAAAGCAACCTTAAGTTGGCTTAGCTTGTTCATTGCTTCCATATTGAATCTAATTAGTGCCCAGTGAAAGACCAAGAGGTAGTGGTTGTGGTCTCAAGCTGTGATACAGGAAATTCTGAATCAATATTAAGAAAAAAAATCCTTCCCCATGAGAATGAAGTGGTGGAGCTCTCAGGCAGATACCCAGAGATGTGGTGATGTCTGTGTTTGGAGATTTTCAGGACATGGCTGTACAGGTCCTTGAGCAACACACTGTAGCTTTGGAGTTAGCCCTGCTGTGAGCAGGAGATTGGACTAGAGACTTTGAGAGGTTGCTTCTCACCCTGGTCTTCCTGTAGTTCTGTGAATAAATCTCTAATGGATTTGACTTACAGGTCAGCTAGGGACAGTGCCCCTGGGATTTTTGTAGAGCGCTTTAAACTAAATCATAGGAAATCATTTATGAGGATGAACTTTTCAACAGCATCATATTGAGGAAATGGGCTGTGTCCACTTTGACTCAAAAACCTGGAAACTGCAGAGTTAAGGAATTGTTAAAAAGCAGCTAAAGGATTTTCTTTCAATGTCAAGCAGTACTACAGTCTTTCTCATAAGCTTGGCTTTTCATTTTTTTGTCATTTCATTTCTCTTAAAGCTACTAACTGATGATGTACAAAATACTTACAAATGTAAGTTTCCTTAGAATTGTTTATAATGATGATATCAAACATTCCTACAGTTTCGGTGCAAGTCAGATATGAATTTCAGGTTAACTATGATACTTATATTTTATGATGAATTTGGGCAGTCCAAAATCATAAAAATCTCCTAGTGCTTGATTATTTTTTTTCTTAGTCTGTGGTAAAGCAAAGATGCTAAGTGTCGTGTGTTTTTAATGGAGTTTGAACAAGCCTGTGGGTCTGAAAGCTGGGAGACTTATTTTGTTCTCCGAGGTATGGCTTATCTCCAGTTCTGCAAGTAATTCAGGCATCCCTTGCCATCTGTTACCATCATCTCTTTGCCAGGGCAGCTGGATGTCCACCGGGTGAAGACATGAAGGCACCCTTTAGCTGACTTCATTTTGTTAGAGGTCACAGTTGTCCTATGCAGATGTCTGACCCCGTCATTTCACAGTCACCCTTCCTGCCTTTCTTATAACATTTTACTTGCCAGTAAGAAAGTCTTGCACAAACAGCTGACCAACCTGAGACAAAAATCTTCTCTAGCCTGTGCCTTGACCTTCAGTGTCTCCTTCTGAGTACTGCCTTCCTTGATGCACGGGGGTTGGTATTCACCGATCCCATCAGTTAGAGACAGGATACTTGTCCGAAAGACAACGGCATTTCAAGGGCTTGCTGTTTGCTCAGAAATCCCTGTTGCTAAAAAGCCCACATGGTCTTTTTGTGTCTGGATAAATTTTTCACATTTAAAACTCCCACCACTTTGTGGCTTGCACAGCTAAGCCTACGGAAGTCTAGGTAAGGCAGTGTTTCCTTTAGTGGCTCCACCTGCTGATTGCTACAGCACTCTGCTTGGCATGCAATCTCTGAGGGTAAAAGCCTTAATCTTTGCAGCTGGTACCACAATGTTCAACTTTGAAGCAGAGACCTTCACATCATATGCCTAGCAGTGTCTGCACAAGCAACTCTGCTGAATGAAGGAAAGGTGAAAGATGTGTTGAGATGACCCAGAATAAATTGTAGATGGGCAGAGCTTTTATTTCTAAAATGTATTTTTAAGATAGCTCCTCTTTGTGCTTGTTAGAGCTGTAGGTGGTGGTCAAGGAGAGGTCCAAGCCAGGGGTTTAGAAGTGAGTATGCACTTTACCAGCAAGGTGCTAAAAAGCATGCAGTATGCAATTACCTACTGAGTAGTATAGTTGTTTCCGATAAACATGGAAGTATGTGTCTGGGAAAGAAATTACTTCTAACAGTTAATGAACAATATCTGAAACTGAGGGAGTTGTTCTGAACAGGGCAAAACTGGCTGCAGGACTCAGATAAGTCTCAGTTGACCATCACCCCAAAGGGGAGAGGTATTTGGTAGCCAGCTGTCAGACCTCACTTGCTGATTTGGTTTCTTTATCCCAGTTCTCAAAGTTTCAAGGTTTCAGTTACTGGGAAGGCTTGGAAGTGACATTTTAATGTGTGTGGTTTTCTCCTTAGGTTACAAAGGGAAGAGGGGGATGGAGCCTGGTGCCCAGCTGGCTTGTTGCAACCGGAAGATGTACAGTTCCTTCAAATTGACCTGCACAAGCTCTTTTTCATCACCTTGATTGGGACTCAGGGACGGCATGCCCGTGCCACAGGCAAAGAATTTGCCCGTGCTTACCGAATTGACTATAGCCGCAATGGAGAGCGCTGGATCTCCTGGAAAGATCGTCAGGGCAGGAAGGTGAGTGTAGTAGGAACTGAATTGTGGAGCACGCAGAAGTCAAGTCATAGAGAACTAGACTGTAGAAGGCACGTCCTCTATGTACTGCCTAGCGCATTGTACTTTATTCTGACTCTTCTCTGTCAGGCATTCAGCGTCCTCTGCCTTAGTCCTGTGTTTGCTGTGATGTTGGACTGTTGTTCCCCCGACCTGATCCCCCAAATCCCAGCCATTGCTGTGACTGAAAACTGTGGCTCTTCACTACCTTTCTGTCTGTGTTCAAAACATCACGTGAATGTCCCTCTACCAGCCAGACACTTGCTTCTAAATTGGAAGCTGCAAAGCACATGCCTGCTTTGTGATTAAAAAAAAAAGGGAGGGGGTGGCAGAGAATGGAGATGAGTTTCTGGATGTCTGAGAGCAGTGTTTAATGTAGGGAGCAATGAGGAGGAAGGAGTTAAGAGGGTAGGAAATGTGCTGAGCGCACACACTCAAAGAGGCTTCCCCACTTACCACAGTTGTCTCCTGCTATCTCCAAACTTGAGCACGCAGCTCAGCACTGGATGTGTTCATAAGCCTTTATTAAACTTCCCCTGGGAAGGAATGCCCTTCTCTCATCTGCAGCTTGTCTGACCTGATCACCCTGCCTCAGGCTGGCTTGTGGAGTCTGAAGACCTAAGCCAGACTAGAAAAGGTACTGGGTGTGGTGATGTTTTCTAGCACTGGGGATGCTTTGGAAGTCACAGTGGGGTCTGTATTGCAGTGTTAGGTAATAACTTCTAGCTTGTTAATGAATTATTTGCTCACTCAGATCTTTGATCTGCTATTTGGCTGTTACCATTATCTTGCCCATCCCTCACGTTTTGGTGTGTGCTACAAATGCTGTATTTGCAGGATGGGAGTGGAAGTTTAAACTCCATGGGGCTAACTGTTCTTCATCAGAATTTTCTTAAGTGAAGTCTATCTGCATCTCGAGTTGTATCAGAATTCAACTAGTTACATGTCCACAAGCAGCTAAATGCTTTTTGTCTCCCACCCCAGACCTGTGCAGAGCAGTGTTCTCAGGCACTCAGGCCTGTGTTAGTGTCAGGTGTTACGATTTAGTATGGGTCAGTTTTTGCAAGATCTCCCTCTTAGGCCATAATAAGGCAATGAGCATGTATTCAGCTGTGTATGATGCTATAATTTGAGCCATCCTGTATTCTAGTCTGTATATGTGGAAGTCCACATATATTCTGTCAGTGTGTGTACCTGTTCCCCATCATGTGAGACCAAAAAGTTTTCCCTCCTGGTATCCTTAGAGGAGATGCTTCTGAGCCTCTGCTCCTGCTGTTCTGGACATGACATACACAATGGGGTGCAATTCCTGCCCTTTCAGCTCCTGTGTAAAATATATTTTTCAAAATGTGTCACCAGTATCCATTAGTGAATCCATATTTCAAAAGCAGTGCTGTCTGGTCAAATAATTTGGTACAAATGTCCTGTAAAATCATTCAAGCCTTGGGATGAGGTGCAGATGGAGATGCAAGATCGAAATCTACTTACTTGTATGTGTTAGGAAGGCCTCTTCCAGTCCTGCAGGTGATAGACTCCTGATCACTGAGATTTCAAAGTGTGGCTATGTGAGCCCATCTTGGCATGTCTTTGTCCAAGGAGATCACATGAATGGTTTTAGTTAAAAAAAAAAACAACCAAAAACACCACAACAAAAAAAACCCCAAAAAACCACACCCCCCACCAACCCAAAAACAAACAAACAAAAAACCACAAACAAACCCAAAGCAACCCCTTCACTATGCTGTTAAGTTTCAGATCTCACAGGATGTTGCGTCATCAGATATGTAGCACATGCTGCTCCTCACCAGGAAAGTCACCTCCAGCTCTAGTTTGCTCAGTAAAGGCAAGGGGTCAGGTTGCTGTCCCCTTGCATTTGGCACGAGTTAAGGATGATGCTCTCCATTGGCACTAATGTTGCATGGTGCAGCACTGTTAAGTCCTGGTCTCTCATCAACTTCTGGGATCAGCCATCTACAGTTGTTTGCCAGCAGCACCAGTTCATTCCTGATGTTGTTGGGATCATTGATTGGCATCAGTAGTGGCCAGGACTGGAAACTGGTGCTGAGTTTGTTCCACACACAGCTGATCACTTTGGGTTTTTTGGCCCTGAGAAACCGAGTGTGCTCAATAGCAGCAACCCCACCTTGTGGAGGTGCTATGCAAAGTGCATCTTCTCTTATGCTTCTCAGAAGATGTCCATACAGGCCAGGCAAAAATGTCAGCTCTTCCAATACAGAGCTAGTGCAAAGATACCTTTTTCTGAGGGGGATGGCTGAAGGTTTTTTCCTCTTACTCTGTCCAGCAATCTGTCCGTGTAGGACTTGGTTTGACATATCTGCCACCCCCAAGATTCCCCAGCAAATGGTCAACTCTAGAGGATCTGTTCAACTCCTGTATGCAGATGGGGTATTCTGCCATATGTTGTCTCCTCTTGGGTTTTATCTCCTGTCAGCAAGATCTTGTGGAGCCAGCTTAGATGGCTTCCAGGTCTCCAATCTTAGGCCATCTGACAGCTGAAAGGGTTAATTGCTGTCAGTTTGTTCCTGAAGCCAAGGATTATTTATGTGTTTCTACTTCATTGGAAGAAGTCATGGGTGTTTCTCCTAGGAAGCAGGATCTTAAGAGACTACAAGTTAAAAGCCTGTTGAGAAGCTGAAGAGGATGAGGAAGCGAGCTTACTTTTTGGCTTTCCTTCTGTCTTCCTTGGTCAACTCCTGGGACTGTGCACCTTTGTAGGGCTGTCCCACCAGTTGCAGGAAACTGTTTGACAGCTATCCTGGTGCAGTCCAGAAGACCACCAGATGTGACTGGCTCTTCTTCAGGGAGATGCAGTCTTCTGAGTGGCTTCCTTTTGTGGTACAATAAGGTCTTTTACTTCTCAATGGACTCTCCAGCCACATTCACTCTCTGGAGATCTTCCCTGCTGCCATGAAGAGGAAGCCACCTTTCTGCTCCCTCATTGGCATCTCTCGTCTTTTAAATTGCCTGTACATCAACAATTGCAATCCATGTGGTCTTTTGAGTAACCTCAGTCTCCAATTCATCCTTCTCACCAATAACATCCTTGAACAGGAGCCCTCACACTTATAATTCAGACTTTTGATATCAAAAGTGTTCTTATTCTGTTTCCATAGGTCCATATCCTTTCAAAAAAATCTCTTAGGCAATTTTGTCCACTGCTGGAGGATTGACAGCTTCAGCTGTTTCCACACACTGACTGTCAAAATAAATAGTGGACTGTTCCCGGAACTCTATTGAAACTGAGGGGAAGGGGAGGGTGAAAGTCCTTGCCGTATCAGACTGCACTTCAGCAAACACTTCAGTTCAAGACATCTGCCGTGCAGTTTCTTGCACCTTCATTCCCCAAACACTGCAGCACCTTTGGAATCCTGTTGGCTCATAGAAAAAGGATATCAGGACCCTTCACCAGGTAACTAGCGATGAGGGCAAGTGCTCAGTTACCTGCTGTTAGAGTGTACATGGAGACTCACTTGAAGAGAGGTTACGTACTAGTAACTGGAGCTCTCTGCAACATGTAGTCCACGTGTACGTTTGTCTCCCACTTGCCTTTCTCCTCTCCCTCAGAGTACTGCCTGCTATGGGTCTGCAGTGGACAGGAGGTGAAATGGCAGCACCCTTCACCCTGTAAGCCATGTACCAGGTAGGAGGAGGGGAGCAGCAGCAGCTAATCCTCTGCAGATACTGCATGGGAAAGCTCCCCAGTCTCAAATGATAGGGTACAAGTACACCACTGTTCATATTAACTGCACAATAGGGAGAAGTTACTGATAAGGAGCTCTTGTCTCCAGGTGATCCAAGGCAACATCGATACTTATGATGTGGTCTTGAAAGATCTTCGGCCTCCCATCATTGCACGTTTTGTCCGGGTGATTCCTGTGACGGAGATGCCAATGACTGTCTGTATGAGGGTGGAGCTCTACGGCTGTGTCTGGTATGGTAAGTAGCAATTTCCATGCCTGTCACTGGAAAACAGTCCTTACGCAACGCTGACTGGGACTCACCTGCGTCCCCATGTATGCAGAGGGAATCCTAGGCCCGCGGAACTGCTTCTGTTGGTCCTCATCATAAATAAAAGGATCATATGGACAGAGATGATGGAAGGCTGCTGCTGCTGTATTTCTGAGGTATATGGCCTTCTTTTTTAGATGGTTTGGCATCCTATAGCATCCCTGAAGGAGGGACAATAGCGGCTCCTGGCTTCCCCATCGTTTATCTGAATGACTCGACCTATGATGGCTACCAGGAGCGCAGGTGGGAGAAGTCGTCCTGTTCTTTCTCGGTCACTGTGCAAATTATCTCGTCTTTCCTCCTTACCCTGTCACTAGTATCTTGTATCCCAAACACTTCTTTGAGACCTCCAGAGCTGCAAGCCAGCCTACTAGTTCTCCAAAGCCTTGTGGCTTCATTGTTCCAGGCCCTTTGATGATATGTTTTTAGTTGCTCTTTTAAAGGAGGGCATGGGCTCAGGATGCATCAGATTCGTTTCTTCCAGCTGGCAAAGGCTGGCAGGAAAGAAATAATTTTTTTTGTTATTGGAAGTTGTTGTTGCTTCTCTTTAAAGAGGGGTGTGTGTCCTTATACAGCTAAGTGCTGTCTTTGTTCATAGCTTCCATCTTTACATGATGTGATGACACAGTCCTGATGTGTCTGATTGCTTTAAAGCCCTCATTGCTCATGGTCTCTAATTGTGACCATATTCATTGCACTGATTTCTTTGTTGGTTCAGGTATAGCCTTAAGCTGTTGTTGATACTGCAGATCATAAGGTGCTGCTACTCTTCTGTTGCCCCAGATTGGAGTGGGAGAGTTGGCTGGACCTTCTACCTGCGCAGTCCCAGTGTCCCTGGAGCAGATGAAGGTCCTTCCCCTCTTCATTGCCTTTGTTGCTTCAGGAGTTTGATATCTGAAATGCATTCTCTAGCAGACTGCGTCTTAAACTGTTGCAGGAGGTCTCCAGGGTAAACTGGGCATCTGAGAAAGTGCACGATCCCTGAACTCTAGGCCTGCACTTGATACCTGTGAGCTTCTGGACAGATTTGAGATACTGTTTTTGAAAACAAAGCTCTCTGATGGACTTGAAACAACTTGGAAAACTGTATCACTCCCTGTGAGAAGCTCCAGATCAGCAGAGGCACCACTGCCAATGTGGTATGAGAGGAAGGTGGCTGATGACTCACTGTAAAGATTTCTTGGGTATGATGCTTTTCCAATTTGGAGTCAAAAAGCCTAAAGTAACTGGATTTTGACAGCTCATTTTAAGGTCTGTTAATTTTGCACATCACTGACATTAGTTAGGTGGAGTGGCATGTTATTGACATTTTGAGGTGTGTCTGCTTTGCCTACTAATTGACTCTCGTGGAAGGAGAGTTCATTAAGAGTCTGTATCTGAAGTGTTAAATAACTGGCTGAACTTTCAGACATTTAGTGTGACCACTTTCTTTGCTATAAATACAGATTTGAGTGTGTTTCAATGACTTGAAACCTCAGACAAACTTGGGTGTGGGTATCCTCTTGAGGCAGCATATCCTTGCCTGTGCAGGAGTGTAGCTAATAAGTGATCTGACAGTGTCTTTTCAGTGACCTGGTGTCATCCATTGACTTAAAGTGCTTTTATTTTATGTCCTGTTTCAGCTGTCATTAACTTCCTGAAAATTTTTACTGTTGCCTATAATTTTTTTATGCCTAGAGATGATTTTTATAAATGTATTTGTGTTTTATCATGCTGGAGGTTAAAATAAGGGGTTGGAAAGTACATCCTTCATGCTTGTAGGATGTTGCAAGATACTGGGTAACAATGTCTTTATATGTCAATATCTGATGCTTTCAAGCTGCATTGATATAGTAGGGATTAGATATTTAAAAAAAAAAAAAGGGGGGAAAAAAGTTATGTCCAGAAAGATGTAGGTGTTGCACTTAGCTGTCCAGCACTAACTTAGGAAGCTGGGTTTGCTGGGGAGTGTCAGGGAGCTACAGATGCAGGCACAAGACCCAACGTGCTAAGCAAGGAGTCTTTCAAACTACTTAACCTCTGGGTCATGTGCCTGACTGGCCTGGAAGCAGGAGTCTGCCTCTTCCAGCTGTTAATCCTGTTTTGGAGTTCAAAGGCATCCATACCTGTGCAAATCCTAGTGACAGGAATGCTCACCCAGAATGGACTTGAGGCCCTTCAGTGTCGGTAGCAGCCCAGCCCGGGTTACAAAGACTGCCTAGAGGTAGTTGAGTGAAACAAGTCCAGGGAGCAAGTTCAGGCACTAATACAGCTGAACTGTTTGCACTTTCCTTAGGACAAGGGACGTGGCAGGGATGGCTCCCAGAAGGCAGGTGGGTCAGGAGTGTACCACATCTGGCATCTTCTACTCTGGGACAGTGCTGGAAAACTGTATAGTGGGCTCTGCACTTGAATAGGAGGTGGAATGAGGCAGGGTCCTGGGCGAAGAGTCTGATCAGCCTTGGAAGCAGCCGATAACGCTCTCTTGCACAAGGACAAATGCAAGAAATAATTCCAGTTAAAACTGGCTGTGGCTGGGGGGGGTGCCCCTGGTCTCACTG